GCCGGGGATGGATTGAGGGGGCGCTGGTTGTCTTTGCGTTTGCAACCATGTTGGGGAGCTACCTAAGCACATTCCTAGACTCTTTCCTAAGCAAGGAAATTTATTACAATTTCAACTCCAAACTAGAATGACAGCTAGTGACCAATATAAGATCAATAATTCTATGAAAACGAAAAAGGATATCGCTGGGGTAAAATGAGTCTATCCCTCGTCCGGGGTCCCTTTTCAAACAAAAGGTTACCGCTAGGTTATCGCTAAGGTTATCGCTAAATTAGAACACCAGGATGATCAAACAAGGAAGAGAAATGGGAATTGAAAAGGACAAATGAATCAAATGAAACAATTACTTTACTTCGTGTGATCCCCACCATGACATTTATACATTTTCTTACTGGCAAATCTTCTGGCATTCTATCTGGCATTCTATCTGACATATCTTCTGGCATTTTATCTGGCATATCTTCTGGCATTCTATCTGACATATCTTCTGGCATTCTATCTGGCATTCTATCTGGCATATCTTCTGGCATATGTTCTGGCATATCTTTTGGCATATCTTCTGGCATTTTATCTGGCAAATCTTCTGGCATTCTATCTGGCATATCTTCTGGCATTCTATCTGGCATATCTTCTGGCATTTCTATCTGGCATTTTTCTTTGGCATATCTTCCTACATGAGGTCCGGCAGGGGAACACTTGGCGTGGATATCGCCGTTGAGGTCCGGCAGGGAACACTTGGCGTGGTGGTCGCGGTTGAGGTCCGGCAGGGAACACTGGGCGTGGATGGTCGCGGTTGAGGTCCGGCAGGGAACACTGGTCGTGGTTGAGGTCCGGCAGGGAACACTGGGCGTGGATGGTCGTGGTTGAGGTCCGACAGCGAACACTGTGGATCGCGAGTCGCAGTTGAGCAGGAGGACGAGGAGGACGACGAGGACGACGAGGACGACGAGGACGACAAGGACGACAAGGATGACAAGGAGGACGAGGAGGACGAGGAGGAGAGGAGGAGGAGGAGGACGAGGCAGGAGGAGGAGGCAACTGACATAAAATCTAACAACCCTCACCTGGCAGGTGGGGAAAAAGGAAAAAATAAAAATAGATGGAATTCAGAATTGAATTCAAAATCAAGTTTGATTTACTTCAGAATTCAATTGCGTTTAGTTTTAAATGGAAAGTAAAAGGAAGGTAAGAAAAAAAACAAAGGAAAACACATTTCATTTCATTTATACAGAACATAAACGAAAATCAGAATTGATTTAAAACTAGTTTTTGCTTTAATTCAGAATTCAATTGCATTTAGTCATTTAGTTTAGTTTAATTCTACTGCTTTGGGACCTGGGAGAAAAAAAGCAAACTGCCTGCAAAAAGCAACGGTTCAATAGCCTTGGACAACAAATGACATGGCCACTGCAAGAAACGTGGGCACTGCAGTTTGAATCTTCTTCATCAATTTTGCCCATCGTGAAGGTGCATAACAATTTGTTCTTGGTTTACACCAAGCTTAATGCACTCTCATATGGTTACAAATTATCGCTTTTTGGGGGGGCCCTATCGCTTTACATGGTTTGGTGCACTTTCTGGACACAGCTGGACCCTCCCTTACTAAAGTAGTCTACGCTTATTTTGACCGTATCTCATATATATTTATACCGTATACCTGGAACTTCCCTGGGTGCGAAATTTCTGCCGTTGTTTGAAACAACTAAAATTTTAGTCGCTCCACCCAAAAATGATGTTTTGCAAAAAAAATGTCGTTTGCCCAGTTTGAACATTTGTCAAAGAATTATGGTCGGGAAAAAAACGCCGTTTCAAGAATAGGAATTTCTTACCAACATGCAATTGTTGGAAAAACGCTCGTAGCAATAATAAGTGTACTTGGGATGAAAGAACAGTGTTCCTTGAAAAAACAGAAAAATGCAACCTTTGGAAGGCGCAGGTATATATTATATGAAACTAATTGAAATTAAATGATATTAAATGTATATGCATGCAGGCCCAAATGGAAACCAAACTGGACCACATTGCAGCAGTGTTTCTACCAATGTAGTAGTGCCGAACCTAATCAGACTTGTCCAACTTCTGCTTGCATGCGGCCAAATTCAAAGCACACCTGGAAACTACGAGAAATGATAGAAATGAAGAAAATCCCAACACCAATAGAAGTCTTGAAAATTTGAGAACCAATCTGGATTTATGAGGTACAGTTTCCACAAATTATGGAGCATGTCAGCATGTCCATTGACATGACCCTGACCAATGACGGCATTGGTTTCCAAAAAATGGGTCGCACCTCCAAAGCAGAAAAGAAGCACGTTGGAGGATTCTGGCGTGGTAGCAATTGAGAAATAAGCTTCATGCCTCTTTCAATTTGTGATGTGCCAACATGATAGTCCAGAGTCTAAACATGTGAAGCCGGATTAGATTCTTGAAGATTCGTCCAAACTCACATGACTCAGTCAAACTATTGGATACTTTCATGGTTTTTTGGTACTTTAAAATTGGTCCACCGACTGTCATTCCCGTGATGATGGCCTTATAATTCTAAGTTTCACCTACAAGTTTCACCTACTGGTTATCAGCTGTCTTTCAATGTGTGTTACCAGTCAGGCTCTGTCAGGCAGTCTGCCATTATGGAACAACTTGCAACAACTTGGCCCTATGCAACAGCTGCTGGGTGCAGCAATACTTTGATTCACTTGGTTTGCAAGCGACGCAGTTTCACTGCCAAGTGCAGGCTGCAGTTGCGTCAAGCAACAAATGGAATATAATAGAAACAACACATCATGTTAAGTTTCACCTGACTGGTTTGGCTAGTTTTCTAGCCTTGCGAGTCAGAGAGCTTTGTGTGAAAAAACATGTGTGTGGAGAAAACGGGGTGTTGCAAGTGATGAACATTTGCATCCGTTTTGACCCTGGGGATTGCCGTGCTTCGGGCCCATAAGCCCATTGCATGCTGTGATCGTGCCGGGGTTCCAAGCTGCTATCCAAACGACAAGACTTTGACACGTCATGGACCGATGAGAGAAAAAAAGGCGCGATCCAGTGGAAAACATGACTTAAGGGTTCGTCATCCTTATTTCAGAATTTTGATGTCTTTCATGACCACTCCACAGCATAAGGGTTCGTCATCCTTATTTCAGAATTTCGATGTCTTTCATGACCACTCCACAGCATATTTATTCCCCTACAGATAAAGAGTATATACCCTTCCCACAGCACTGACAGGCTTAAGCTCCTGCAGCAGTGGGTCTGCAAGGCGAGACCTGCAATAGGCTGACAACACAGTGCTGCCAGCATCTTGGAAACAGAGGGTCTGAAAAGTTTTGAAGTTGATTTCAAATTCCTTCTCGTACGGGCATCTCTGAATGTTCAAATGTTCTCTCTGGCCGTCAGGAAACGAAGGCGACTTGAAAATTTGACAGAATCGAAAACTGTGTCGAAGTTTGCTGACTTGATTGGTAGAGGTCAGATATCCATTTCCTTTTGCTATAAAATAGGGATTCGGTCTGGTTCACATTTCCAAAATTGACCCAGATTAAGCCCGGCCTCCCAGGTTGATTGATGACCACATGCTTCCAAACGAAGCGCTTGAGGCTTTTGCCAGCCTTGGCACGTCTGGCAACAATGCTGGGAATCAGGAGAGGGACCTCCATAGATGGATGTCTAATCTGTGGAGGTTTTCACTCCAAACCTACAGCATATCAGTTCCTCTGCAGGACTGGGGTGCCAAAAGTTTCATCTTAATCGTATTCAATGTTTACAATCTGTTGCATGACAATCTCAAATAGTTACTGTTGTCAGCTTCCATTGAGGTAGATGGGTGCAACAACAACGCTCGACCTACAGCCATCCGAGTTTTGCTTCCCCATGAAGTGATTGCTGCCATGTCTTCATCATGCAAGTATGTCTTTGACAGCGTCATGTTGGGGCACCATTCAGATGAAGATCGTGTGGCCTTCTGGCAACATGGTTCCAATTTGGACCCTTGGGCAAAACACCCGATCAATCCCGATCATTAGTGATGGAAATTGGGAAAAGTTGATAGGCATCCATATCCATGGTGACGGGTGGGAATTCTACAAGGAAGACGAATATTTCGTGTGGTCTTGGAGCTCAAAATTTCTCCACTGAAGGATCCATCAAGGACGTTCTCATGAGTCGTTTCCCCATCGCTGTGATTCCTGAAAGATGGATGAGAAAATCAGCTGTTACTCACCGTGTTTAAGGTTTTGTGTTTTATATATGACCAGAAATAGAAAAGACCGTCTGTACCCTGCCACATTTTTCCCTGCCCCGAAACCACAGGTTCGAGACGAGGTGCACAAACGCATCGCAGAACTGACTGCATGGTCAATGGATTTTGCAGGCCAAGGCAAATGGCCTCACAATGGGTTCCAAGGGGAAGCATTCAGTGCAGGGACAACTCGCTTCAAACAAAAGGGCAAAGAATTGGCCAAGGGGTGGAGGATTCCCAGTCCCTACTTGTTACAAAACCTTTCTGTGTTGCTTTCCTCGAAATGCAATGGCTCATTTGATGTGGGAATCCATGGTGAGCCTAGTTAAATATTTGCCATGGTGGTTTACAATGGGGGGTGGGTTTTACCCGGATCAAACATGTTTACAATTTTGTGGGCTTGTGGCCGATCTAAGGGCGTGCTATGTATCGTTCAAGGCAGATCTGAAAGCTCGCCATCAGATGCATAACTTGCAAAGGTGGTACAAATGCAATCTGTTTCTTGGTTAAAATTTATTTGGTGTGTCTGGAACAATTTCCACCAGAAAAAGTTCGGGTTTTCAAAATTACAAGGGATCCTGGTTTTACCTCAATCGCCCATCCTCCCAGGTTTTGCGATAGATGCTTCGGACTGCAGGGGGACAGATGCCCAACACCTATGGACTACAGGAATGTGGGTCCTACTGCGGCTTGGGGTGTGACGAACATCAGCCATGAAACCTACCAGGTTCTCGACAGGAGATGGATGTCCCGATATATGGGAAAAAATAGCTGGGGGTTCAATTTCCTCACAATCTCCCATGACGGGCTGCATCATGTTTACCTCGGAACTGCCCGAGACTTGTGTGCCAGTGGTCGCTTGGCAATATAGTTTACTCACAGGTTGAAATTCCATTTTACACACAGGCATGTTTGTGTGTAAACCAATCTTTGTATAGAGAGGTATGGGGATACAAATGCACATCTATCATCTAATCATATGTATATATATATATAGATTTACCCACATGTCTCAAATGCATATACATATACATAACTTACCCTGCAATAAACCATCTTGACCCGATTGGGTGTATGCCCAATCATTCCATACTTCCCAGGTATTCGGGTGCTGATCCAACACGGTCGCTTTGCAGCCGAAGCGCAAGGTGCAACGGACATGGATGACATCCTGGCGGGCGTTCACAGTGTTCACAAAAGCATGCGTGAGACCTGCAAAAAGCATGGGTTCCTTGATTTTCATAGCCAATGAGTCTTCATTTCTTGATCCATTATACCGGGTGGGTTGTAAGCGCATAGAAAAAGAATGGGAACTTTTTCCATACATCTTCATAAATTGAAACCCAGTCAAAGGTTCTATCTTCCGGCCAAGCCATGCCTTACATTGGCAAACATTGGGGGGCCTGATTCGTTTGCTGAATTGGGGACACGGTTCAAAGCTTCCCACATCAAAGTCATGCTCTGGTGGCTTGCACTGGAGACAACGGAGTTTGCAGATCAGAACCCCGAGGTTCCTTGTTCTGTCCTATTGTCTGGATTAAAGAATAGTTTTGTCATGTTTCCACAAGGTACTTCTTATGACGTTAGATGTCTGTTGAAGTTATCCCAAATAGGTTTCTTCTTATATAAACTTTTTAGCATTAAATTCCTTCTGTTTGCCCAGGACCCGGTTCTGAACATGTTGGGAACCTACTGCTACTCAATGCAACGGGTTGTGGAGCTCATGGACAATTCAGGGCTGGTGTTTTCAGAGTCCGAAGCGACTGAAGCTAGTGAATGCTTGAGAGTTCATTTGAAAACATACCTGTGGCTGGCATCGTACCACTATGAAAGACTCATGTTGATGTTCAAAACGCGATGCAAGACCCATTACTTGTTTCACGTTGCCGATGAAATTGAGACAACTCGTCTCAATCCATCCATGTTCCAGAATTTTGATGAAGAGAGCTTCTTAGTAAAACTCAAACGTAAAGCCATTCGATGTCATGGGGCAACATGTATCCAACGCCTTTTTTTGAGATACCTCCTTTGCCTCGCAATGTATTTGCGGGAATATTCCAAAACGGAGACCCGGATGGAATGAACTTAAACCAAGTGCTGTTGGGATAGGACCTGTGGCTATGGTTTTAAAACCCTTTGTGGTAGCACCTCTTAAAAAAAGTGGCTTGAATTTGGTTTATCAAAGATTCCATTGGGTCACTTGGGGCCAGATGAGCCAAAGGCTCTATTTGAAAACTGGGAGAAAATTCTCAGTTAACCTGCTTTCGCAGCTTTGGGTGGAAGCAGCGCTTTGTCACCCTTCCCGGTTGGTGCCTTCATAGAGGTCATGCAGCCACGTGCATGGCAGCCGCGGCCACTACAGATAGTGAGGTTGACGTTTCCCCTTGGAAAAAATAATGTGGGTAAATTTGTCGGGTTGTTCCAAAAAACGGTGAGAATTCCAAACTGTTTCCAAAGTTTCCCTCTGGAATATATGTTGAACAATTTTTGTTGTGGTAATTCCATCAAACGCTGATACTTCCAAGTGTATTAATTTCAGGCTATATATAATAGTTTTCAGTTCTTGGTTCCCACCAAACATACTAGGATTAAAACGGTTTGGTTTTTTACCCACTCAATCATGGGTCTGAATTTGATCCAATGAAATCAAAACCGAAGGCCGAGCATGTGACCCCCCTCCAGTGGTCGTGGTGTTGTTTTCCATGGCTTCCAGTTTCACCAGCAATACCGTGGTTTAGTAAGGTTTTTTATGTTCAACCCCAATGCTTGGCATGGCCAAAGAATACCAAACAAGAATCCAAATGCGGTTTGCAAAGATTCCCAGAAAAAATGGCTGTATGGCCCATGCAATGTGGTCCCAAAGTATAGCGTCGATCGAAAACATAGAGTTTGTTCCTCACCACTTTCGGGTCTTTCGCCAAATTGCTGCTTGGCCTGCTAGGCAGGCCCTCCCATTTCAATCAAACAAGAACCTTGTTCAAATATGTTCAAATCAGCAAATAAATGCAAATAATAGCAAACAACATTCCCAACTTAGGCTCATGTGAATCCAAAATGCCAAACCCAGGACACTTTCATCACCAATACAACAGGAGCATTTTGACTTTTCAAATCTTCTTTGAAGAGTCCAATCCGATGACTATTCATCTGGAACTTGTCTTGAATCACATAGTTTAAGTAGCCAGAAAACCCGGCCCAATCGGATGCATTAAAAGAGTCGGGATCCCGAAAGCAATATGGCAGATCAACATAGTCTTCTCCAGGCACCTGAACCACAAAGCGTTTCCGGAAGGACAGCAATGATGACTTCGGAAAGGCTCTTCGAGAGATGTCAATTAGTTCAAACGCATCCTCCAATGAGCGGCACGCGACATGAAGAATGAATGGCTCAAAGCGAGCCCAAATTGCATCAACATGAAGCCCTCTTTCACTTCCAAAGGAATACCTAGCAACATGTTCAGTCGGAAGTCCTGCCACTGCATTGTCCGGACTCCATTCATCGAAGGAATGGCAAATGTGAAAACGCCACGTCCGAGAAAAGCTGCCCTTCGCTGGCAAAAGTCTCTGCTGAGGCTCTTTGGGGTCTTTCTCCCGGCTTGGACGCCATAGAAAAGCGCGACCACTGCAAGAGCTCAGCGTGCAGTACTGATCATAGCTATTGATCTCATTTAGAAGAGGCACAATCGGAGCATCCCAATCTCCCTTTGAAGATTTGTCTCTTCGACCTAGCAAGTCAGCCTTTTCTTGAGCGAAGCGCTCCTGCTTGTCATGCATGTCGGCTTGCCGTCCAAATACCCTCACCAACTGAAGCGCTGGAAAGCGCGGCATCTTTTGGGCCGTTGGCTTTGCCAACCGGACGTGCAACATTACGATATTTCACACCGCAAAATGCAAAGCAAAGCTAATCGGCAAAAGCAAGCAGCCTATCTGTTATATACACAGTCTGGAAAAGTTACAATGACAGCTACAGATACCCGATAATTACAGTACATGGTCTCACAATTTTGTGGCAACTGTCAATGGAAATCTTCTGGACAAACCAGTGTCAGCCCTTTCTAATGGTTTCAATGACACAAGTGCAGGGAGCACAGAGCACGGCAGCCACTGATTTGAGCATCATAAAAGGCAAATGCATTCAAGTACTCTTGACATTTCTTGAGTGCCAAATGTCCCAGACCCTGCTCCCAAATTCTAACAGATCCAGCTCTCCAATCCCCAAAGAACTCTTGAGCCCCGTGATTCCATTGCATAAAAGGACGCCCTGCATTTCGTGCTTGGAGAATGCCGGATGGCATCTTTCAACATTGAGAAACGGTTCACCTTGCAAACAGTGCTTGCAACTGTTTGCAATTGTCGCGGTCTTATTGTGCTCAAACTGGCAAGGTACATCAGCCCCTGTCTAGGCAAAACATCAACAGGTCTGCTTTCTTTGTATGTTTGTGTGCACAATTCTGCGACGTGTGACCAGTGCCAATTCCAGTTGTACTATCAGACCATCAGTGCCCATCAGCCCTTGAAATTAGATGATGATGCAGAAACCGAAGTTCTGGCTGCATCTGAGTCGACTCGGTCGACTTGGTCCACTTGGTCCACTTACACACCGCCCTGCTTCGCCGTTTCACGGCTTCACCCCGACCTGGCAAGCCTGGCAAGCCTGGCAAATGCACATCACATCTGGAAGATGTCACGACTGTCACGACTGTCACGCCTTTTTGTGAAATTTTACTCCAGAGCCCTCTCTTAGTCAACCAACCAGTGGGATAAGGACATCTATCAATCCGTCCAAGTCTAATCTAAAGACATCACAATCCCTAAGTTGCAAGGGTTCATGTTGCTTCAAGTCTTGCCTTCCGCAACCCTTATGCCCTCGCGTCATCATGCATGCAATGCTGTAGTGGTGTCAATGAAGCAGCACATTTGATCAGTCTTGATTGGAGGACACTACCTCCAACCGCTAGGTAATCCAATTCACGCACATTCGCGCTCCATTCAGAGCAAATCTTGCTGTCTACTACACTTTGCTCAGGTCGACCTTCGGTTCGTTAATGAACCAATCCCCACAAAAAAGGGAAAAGATGTCTTCCAGCTGAATTCAGCGGGATTGTGGCCATGACTTGGCGCCATTCACCAAAGCTGACGTCGGAGGACTTCAAGGTAATACCAGTGCAGTGTGGACTCAGTATGGTACACTCAGTTGCGCACTCGAATTTCAATTGCTGTGCCAACTTGCAGGCTTAAAGCGAGCCTATTGCTGCCCTTCCTGCAGGGTACATTCCCATGTCATCATCGCTTATTCCACTCTGAAGCACCATCTTGCCACAGGCCCAACTACCACGGCACATGCTGACCCTGCGCAGTCTGAGCTGGCCCTGTCCAGTCTGGGAGGCTACAATTCCAGAAAACATTTCTCATTTCTCAAACATTGCAAGACAGTTGGCTTACAAACACCAAGAAACTTTGACGTCCAACAGGCCTTGATCCATTCATTTGGCCCGTGAACCAACAGCATGCTTCACTTCCAGACACTTCCTCATCTTCCTCGAAAGCCTGTCTACAGTCTGTCAGAGGTCATGTAGTCATTGTAGTCTCCCGTTACAGCAGTCACAGCAGGCAGCTCAGCGGCAGGCAGGTGGGTCAAGGCTCTGCCACTGCGTCAAGTCGCCTGGCACCATGCTGGACGGCATCGGCCTCGCTTTAGCTTCGGCGGCACAGCTTGCCTCAAGATCGATGTCAAGGTATTCAAGGTCAACTTTGTCGGTCAAAGTCTAGTCCGAACTGGCTGGTCACACTATGTCAAACATCAAATCTCCCAGCCGAACTGCCCCAAAAGGCTACCATCTAGAGGGTGCCACTCCTCACATGCCATCATGGAGCAGGCAGCTTCACTGTTCACCCTAGAAGCAAAGCTGCCAGCTGAAGCACAGCAACGGCAGGCAAGAGTGGATGGCGGTCTTTGCGATTACCATCTGGCCAAGGCTGGAAATGATCTTGCAAGCTCACGACTTGAAATGCCAAATGCCTTCGACAGTCCTCAAGCTTCCTGCACCTCCCAGTCAAAGGCCACAATTCACCTGCCCGGAAAAGGGCCCAAATTGCCCCACCCTCCCCGTGCAAAGTTCGTGAAGGCCCTCTCCCCAGGTCAAATCTCAGCCAGACAAATATGATTGAATGGATGTGCGGAAGCATGATCACAGTCGAATAACCCCATGGATTCTTGGCTCACTTGGAAGGACCAATGCCCTTTCTGACTTGGAAACAGCTCACAAAAATTCTCTGCACGGGATAACTTAGGGGGATCGCTTGGCGAAGAGAAGTTTTGCTAAGAGAGTGTGAAGCGGGTCATATTGCAGTTCCTCTAGTTTCCTGAAAGGCCCAACCAAAGCCATGTGAAAAGCTCAGCATTGAGTTGTTCTAGCCGATTCTAGCGGGGAAGCGCATTCTGAAATTAGCTCATTAAGCCCGCAACCAACATGTTGCGCGACGCATTCTGGAGTTTCCACAGGGGCATTAGGCTATTAGCAGCCATCAAGATGTAAGAGCTAAATTTTGGTGAGGAAGAGTTCCTGTCCCGGATATTACCCACTTCATGCCTGGTCGCATGCCCGTGAAATCAAATGATTTGAAGATTGCTGGCAGAAAAAACTATGATTGGCGGTTGGACAGTCACAACCGCTTAACATCTGCTGAATCCTGTGTATGACTCATCACTGCCAGTCACGCTGGAAGAATCCAGCCACCCGCGATGCAGCAACTGTATCTGAGAATTCTGGATCATGACAGCAGTTGCTTTGACTAAACGAACTGCTCAAATCATGGAAAAAA